AAGTTCTACTTCAGCAACTGCTCTGGAAAAGGAAGAAACCCATTAACTACATACATCGGTACATCTTTTTTGCACCTTGACAGTAGACGAAGAAAAACCTGGAGCGCCTCCTGCTCCATATTATCCATGCTGTCCTTGTGCTGAGGGCTTCATCCAGAACAAATCAACAATAAAATTTCCCTTGCCATATGCGATGGAAAAGGCCACTTCTGAATGGTAGACTGATCCAAAAGGCTGCTGTTTGTCAGCCATAAGGAAACAATCACACACTTGCTGGGGAAAAGAAGAAAAAAAAGACTCCCTGCTTGGAAGACCAGGGACGTGGAGAAACCAAAGGATTTACCCACACATGACATACTCCCATAGCAACGCCCTGGAAGATCTAATTACTGATACAGGGAATACATCAATACTTGCAAACACTTAATCACGTTACATCTTCTGCATTGTTGAAATCCTTGCTTTAATTCTTCAACAGATGCTTCCTAATATGGACTAACACAGGTTGCATTACATCTCTCTATTTTTAGTGCACATGTTTTTTGGCCACAACAACTGCTGTTTCAGGCCAAGTCAAAACTGCAGAGAAAACACATCTAAAAGACAATGATTAAAGATGGGAAAATTCAACATAACAGTAACATGTGTTTAGGATTTATACCTGTTCAGGGAAACCATTCCCCGCATTCAATACCTGGCACTTAAATTATTGCCAGCTTTGATCAATTGTTAAAACACTTTGAAAAATAACTAGATAGAGAAGCAATGCATTTATTTTCTTAATTAAGATGTTGATCCTCCTGTGTTTATTTTCCTCTATTAACCTCCCTCCAGGCAGCACATTTGCATTAAACAAAAACTGGTTCATTCAACATGACAAAAGGGGGTTTAAAGCAAGCTCACATTCACAAGTAATTTATGAGGTCTACACCATAAACATGAAATAACCACCTACCCTCCAAAGACAAACTGCTCTCACTCATACTTATGGGCTGTATTTCATATCAAATCCTTTCTATGTAAAGGGACTTTAATGCATTCTTGGAGACTTCTGGAAGAGTTACAACAGAGCTTATTTTTCCCAAAGAAACAAAATTTTACAACACAGTTAGAAGAGATTCCTAGGCTTTTCGTTTTTTTTTTTTTTTTTTTTTTTTTTTTTTTTTCACTCCATCTTCAACACAGATATTTCCCCCTCAGTAAAAAAAGAAAAAGCAGCAAAAACCCCAACAACTGTGAGGAATTAAAACACAAAACACTACTTTTACTTAGACTTTGAAGGCATAGGAAATATGTAAGATATACAACCAGATCAGATGAGGTTGTCAGGGAGGTTGTGGAGTCTCCCTCCTTGGAGATCTTCAAGGATCACCAGCACACAGTCCTGTGCAACCTGCCTGAGCAGCAGGGTTGGATCAGATGGACCCAGAAGTCCCTGACAATCCAAACCACTCTGCAGTTCTGAGATGTCAGCAAGTGTTAAACCATTGTTTTTCCATGCATATTGTCACAGGCAAACAGCTTTGTTGTGTATATACATATATATGAACACAGAGAGATGGGGCAATGAAAAAAGCCCTGCCTCAGGTATTTTCTAACACCTCTCTAAGTTTTAGGGTGTTAATAAAGGAGATCATACGGTCCTCCACCAGTCCTTCCTGCTCTGCTCATTTCTTCCCAGTTAACAACTTTCTCTAAAGCACTAGGTTAAGGGGAAGGACAGTCACTGTTAGAAAACAAATTAGCCCTGCAGCTACATATTGAGCCTGGGAATAAGTTAAGCTTATGCACAAACTTCCAGGCCTAACCTGAAGGCACTGCAAAAGTTATGTATGATGCATTGAAACAGAGGCCTCTTTCTTTCTCTCTGCTTGGCTCACACATCGAAATATTCTTATTCATATGTATTAAAGCCTAGAATAAGAACTCCCTGCAACTCCACTCTCTTTCCAGAAAAATCACTTGTACAAGACCTTTGACAAAAGAGTTGTCAAGCTCATTTTTAAAATCAGAACAGCATGTGATAACATTTGTACCCCAAATTCAGCCCAGATTCTTTGGTTATCATCTCTAGAAGTGTTTCACATCAATGGTGCAAAGCTATTTCCCATGTTTCTAATGACGCCATGCTTCAGAGCTAATGAAACCCAACCTTCCCTTCCTTCCCCCTCACAGCATATGCACCTGGAAATCTTCTAATGGGTTTTCTGTTTGCCTCACAGGGGCTCATGTTCATGCCTGTGCAGAAACACGCACTGCGACTTGAACTCTTCCTCCTGCTGTATGACAGGTGATAAAAATACTACAGATACACATATCATATGACTAACACTAGCACCTGGCCTACGATGGCTGGATCCATCCTTTGCTGCTCGAGCACTTCAGAATTCAGACAAAAGAACCAACAGACTGGGGATTTTTTAACCCATTAATAGCCACTTTCAGCTTCAGATCTCAGAGATCCAGTCATGCATGACCTGAAGTGCTTTTCCACTTCTGACAACAGACAGATTAATCCTCCTATACAAATTATACCAGAAGAAGTTTAGCTCCTGCAAAACTCTCCCACAGCTCTGGAAAATTGTAGTGCTGTAGGACATGTTATGCCTCTTAAAATAAAGGAGTCGTTTCAGAGATTTTAACCTTTTATCAAACCAGACTGCTTGCATTACCTAGCCCCAAGGGACTGATCAGTTCAGCTTTCCTTTGCCATCACTTGGGTCTATGAAGAAAACACAAGGAGAATGCTCTTGGAAAGCTCACTCACAGTGCTGACACATGGCACTTCCTGATTAAGCTCATTTTGCTTTCCTCAACTACTTCCCTCCCCTCACCCCTACAAGTACTCACACAAGTTACTGTATCACCAGGCTTTTGGTTAGTTTTTCTCTTCCCCCTCAATCACTTAAGTTTAGTTATCACAGGACACCCCTCCGCCAATACATTTTGCCATTGAGTTCCACTAGCCCTGTTCAGATTTCCATTTAGATTTAGATATTCAATAACTCGTATTAAAATATAGCATGCGATACTTTGTATTTTGGTTGAACCCCAAACAACTCCACATCATGTTACACACTGATGAGTTATAAAATTTCAAGAAAAAAAAAAAAAGCACCTTTAAAGGTGATTCTTATCTGTTCTAGAAATTCAAGAAAAACAGGTAAGAAATGGACAATGCTCAAGCCGGCAGCTTCGTGGCTTTGAAAACACCAGGAAAAACTCTGGAAGCAAGCCCCAAGATCACCATCACCACACAATTTCATTACAAATAGACCTTTTGTATGTCAGAGAGGATTAACTTTTCTTTGGTTTCCGAACTCCTGTGCACAAAAGTTAATCCAAACCAGACAGGAGTCAATTAGGTCGTTAATGTGCTAAGCCTATTAACAGCCATGACTTACATTTCTTCCCCGCAACAATGAAAAACATTCAAGAGTCTGCCTTTAAGTGGCAAAGCCCATGAGCAATTTCGTTATTTTATGACACAGCTACTTGAAGCAGTGGCTGTTTGCATAAGCAAGTAGTGCTCCCCATCGCGCCGCAGCTGAGCGCTTTGTTCCCCTCTTAGCCTAACCGGCCTGCACTTCATGCAAAGAACCAGCACCCAGGGGAGCCGAGTTCTGCTTGTAGCTCTTTTGCAAAGCCCTACACAATGTGGGGCGTGTGTGTGTGTCTTTCTCTCTCTCTCTCACTTCCCCCTCACCTAAAGCCACCCTGGTCTCCCACAAGACTCAGCAAAGCACATGCTATCCCCAGCTCCAGTTAAATACAAAAGCCAAACTTTATTAAGCTCATGGTTGCCAATTCCACTCAGTTCTTTCACTTTTCTGTTACTTTTGCCAATAAAAAAAAAAGTTTCGTGTTCTTTTTACTGCCATTTTCCTGTATGTTTAACCACGAGATTGTTTTTGACCAATCTGTTGTTCCATACTCATAGATCTTACACCTGTCAGATTTTACCTGCCATCTCTGCTTCCTATTTTGTCCCTTTAATAGCCCAGTAGAAGATAACACAGATACCTTAACATGCTGCCTTTATTTAGTACACAGCCCATCCAGCAGAAGACAGAAGCTGAAATACTAATGAGGTAATGGAACAGAAGAGGAATAAAAGGAAAAGAATATAAAGAAATGACTCTGTAAAGTTCATTGAAAATACCCCTTGTACACAGCACACCTAGATGGTGGTGAAAAGTGTGACAACTGCATTTTTTCTGTTTTAACTACTAAACATGAGAACACAACAAGATTTTTAACAGTTCACACACACACACACACACACACACACTAAGTGCCCTCCGCAGCCTTAACTGGAAGAAGGTGAAAGACAGGAAGAAAGCTAAAACAACCATCAGCAAAGAAACAAAAATGAAGAAGTCTGCAAGCTGACAATGCACCCTGATGCATTCTGTTATGGACAGTGTGTTCTTCTAGACAGAAGTAGAAATGATGGCACATGAGAAGCTGAAAAGGAAAGCGTAAGAGAAACTGCTTGACTCTTTTCCCCCTCCGGATATCTTTTTGTCCTGTTAAGTGGATTCCTGGATATAATCTTCACAACAAATACTTCTGATTAAATGACATAAAACTACCCAAAATGACACTTTTGTTCTGTCCGCACCTACATCTTTGCAGTGTCACAGCTCCAGTGAAAAGCTGAGATGAAAAAGCAGCCCTCAACCAACTTCAGTTTCAAGATTTAGGTCTTTGCTAAAAACGCTGTCAATTCCTTCCAGTGCAACAACTACATCACACAGGTGAAGCAGAAGTTATAGCTCATCTCCTCACCAATCAAAGGTTACAGCATGTACCTAATTACATTTGTGATGTGGCTCCTTCTGCCTGAAGAAGCAGAGGTACTCATTCGCACACGCCATTTTTCACTACTTCCTGTGGTCACAACACTCAAGTTACAAAATAGAGACATACACTGAAGAACAACAGTTACAACTATAACTGTATATTCATGGCTGCTTTCCGAGCTACTTCAAGCTCACCTGCTACAACCTTGCAGTGCTCATCAGGAATGTGCTTCAAAGAATGGCTTGATTTTGTGGATCGTCTACGTCTGATGAAGTGTTCTTTTCCGCTAAATGAGGTCTCTGATGTATTCACTGGTTGTATTAACATGTGCTCTGATCCAATTTGAATATAGCCAACCTGTCCACAACAGAAGGAAATGAAAAAAGGATATCAGTTTGTTATCCTAACCATTTCTATCAACCCAGTCTTTCCCCAGATCGTTTCCCTACAACTGTTATTTACAGTGTGAGGAAAAGTGAATACTGATCTTGTTCAATCTACATAATACACAGTGAGGAACTTCCTCTGCTTTCCCTATTTATCTTTGATTATATAGTAATATTCAGGAACGCCATTATGCAAAGCTACTATACGTGTCCAAAAAAAACCAAAAAACCAACCACACAAGAATTGTTGTCAACACCTGTTCTTCCACTTCTCTCTCCCCTCAAGTAGAACACTACTCCAGCTGGAAGCATGAAGATGTATGTCCGTGTTCAGTTCACATGAGAACAAATAAACCCTACTAACATAAATGCTTTCATAACCACCATTCTAATTGGCAGCTAAAATTACATTGTTATCAAGTGGCATTTATTACCTCAGCAGAGAGAAGAGATTTCCCGCAAACAGCAGACTGGCTACGTGCATCATTCTTGCAGAACCACTCACATTTTTTAGTATGAGGACAAAATACCTCTTACTAATTGCAAGAGGCCACACAGAGAGTGGCCTATTGTACCTTACCAGTGATTATCTTTTCAACCCTACCTTGAATAAGTAACACAGGGAAGGCAAAGTCCCTGGCTAAGTAAGACTCCACAGGCCAGCATTACAACTCTGCCTTTCTTGCACCAAGTCAAGTCACCATACACAAGGACTGCAAGAATATCTTTGGAAGGCAGTTTCTGCCCCAGGACAGCCCTCCTCTGCTTGCAACCAGTAGTTTGTAGAGTTTGTATGCATTCCCTATTCCTTTTCCAAAACATAAGAAAAAGAGTGGAGGCAAAGATATCACCTAACAAAGCTTCCAGGTTTAATAATCAACACTGTCATAACACATTAGAGAAAGTAACTATGTGCAGTGAAGGTTTTTAAACTTGCTTCCCATTGTACTAATCCAATGTTTATTTGTATAGCAATTGAACGCCCTGAAACACAGCTCTTTGTAACACAGTCCCTTGGAAGTAATCTGTAGGTCTGATCCAACTTCTTCTGCTAGTAACCAAAGGCATCACATGTCCTGCTGGGAGGCATCAGATTGTGCCTTTGGTACACCTGGTAGGTAATGGGACTTACAAGATTGTAACCTACAGAACCCCTGCGTAACATCCATCCTAAACATACAAAGATTAGACTCCCCCCATCCCATCACCGAGTTCCATGCCAGCCAGAAAACAACCTAAATAACTGCTCTGCACATACGTGCAAATAGTACATATTTCAACATCTGACTGTACTAATATGATTTATAACACACATTACATACATACTGTAAATCGTACATTTCCACACCTTCCTGCCAAATTCAGTCCTCACGTACACCCAGGAAATCCCTTTGGCCCAGTATTTCCAGCAAGAGAAATTTCTCTCAGAGAAATGAGAGCTCTCGTCTTCTGACAACACAAACTGAACAGCATCAGTGAGAGAGGAGGATCTCTCAGATAGGGTCACTACTTTTGAAGCAGCAGCTGAAGAATCAGTGCTTCTCTCTGCCATGGTTGCCTAGGGCATACCTCTGTAAGTTGGGCAATTCTGTCCAAATTGCTTCAAAGACAACAAAACTCCAACGCCTTATTCTTCCAGTCTCCTTTACAATGTTTTCCATACTTCCTCTCCTTGTTTCAATGTTCCAGTCGGGAGGTAGCCCCAACCCCCTTATTTAATATAGGTTTTAATTATTTAGAAGAAGGGCTGTAAATCTGGTGCCATGGTACTAAAAGACACACCAGAGCTCCTGAAACGCTGCCAACCATTTTTGTTGGTGCCAAAAATATGTAAGAAGAAGTCAGTTTCATCACCACCCAACATTATCCCAACTTTCTGGCATCAAGTGTGAAAATAATTTAAACCACTGGAAAAGACTTATGTTTCACATTTGCTTTGGGATTGTGAAACCTATGGAGGGAGAAAGACATGCGTCTTCACCCTGGAATAGGTTAGGAAGCAATCTCAAGTTTAATCAGGCAAGCCAACTAGAGTTTCAGGCAGGAAAGAACTGCAGGATTGAGCCTGTAAAGTGTTCCTAGGGAGTTAGAGTTCTCCTTCAACTTGCCAGTTGCATTCTGAAGAGTTTTCAAACACGTTGGTCCAGATTTGAATCCTCTGGTCATTGCTTTGCTTTTTCCTTAAGAAATCCATCCCTCTCATTGCCTCCCTTACATCTTCCAACTACCACATACCATGCTGTGCTAATTGCAGCATGAGATATCAGACATCAGCACTGGACAACTACTCTGAGTTCTTCCTCCCTGCGTGATGTTCATGGGCTACAAAAGGCTAGATTTTGAAGATAAGGAAGTAAAACATCACCGTCAGTACTATTTTCCCTTGTCTCTGGAAATCAGTCTAATTAAATAAAGTGCTATGGATCTGTTGAGCCACATTTACCTAGGAAGATGCATATGAAAAGCTGGCAAATTCCCTCTGACTTTTCTCTCATGCTGAAAGCCCACATGCACAGGACCAGCCACTCATATTGCCTAGTGGCCCAGAAAACAAGTGGCTGTTGCCCAGCCTACCCATCCCCAAAGCACCTGTTACACAGGAGTCATCAAGATAACAGGAATTGAGACGAGTTTAGAACTTCACTGTCATCTGTATTAGTGATCTAACTTGGATTCACAGTTACCATGACAAGACCGTTCAGCTGACACTCATTCAGCTTAGCTAACAGGAAAGGATGGAATAATTTCCACCTCAAAAAGGCAGGCAATCTAACTGGCAAGTCAAAATAATAACTAAGAGACGACTACAGCCCCAATGCACACAGAGCTGAACAGAGGCTACATCTTCCAGATTATCCTTAATTTACAAATTATTTCAACATTGCTCACTACCATTGGAGAATTCCATTCTCCAAGTCACACAAATATTCTTACAAACGCTTCCTGCGTCTCACTTACCTACAGTTTTCTACACGCGTTGGTCACTCGAGCAAGAATCTCTGACCTATGCTCACATCACCCCTAGTTCAGCTGCCTTCTACACACTACCATCCTCCCTAGGGGACTTGCAGGCTAAACAACAGGAATGTCCTCATCGCATCGCTGAAGCTAGACCAGTACCAAAGGGACTGCATTTGTAATCACACTGTCCTGCTTCAGTGCTCTGCCTCTGTCCCCTGGTAGCACTGGTGGAGCTGCAATAGCTTGAGGGCTAGCTCAGGACAGGAATCCAACGTCCTCAGTGTTCTCTGCGCGTGGCTCTGGACCTTCCCACACATTAACAGGCTCCAGCAGTTACGCTGTTTTTCCAGCCCTTTCTATTTTCACAACATCTTTGAACAAGATCTGAAACGCTGAATCTTTAACAGATTTTTCTTTTTTTCTCCAAAGCATTCATTAGTTACAAACATACAAATGTGCACAAAAGAACAGTTTGAATCATCTGACGAATTCCATCCCCTCCTCAATTTCTCAGCTGTTAAACTGTTAATCTTAATTTAACCATTTCCTCAAAGTTAACAGGAAGTTAATATCTCAAATGAAGAATAAAAATCAAATTTAATAAACTTCATGTGACTTTCAGACCTGTCCTTATCAATTGCATCTCAGCTTAAAGTCAACTATTATTTACAAGTGTAACTCAAATTCAAAATGAGAGCATTTGCTCCAGGGTCATTTGAGGTTTAAACTGAGTTACGAGAGCTGACCGTACCCAAGAATATCCAACTGCACCTCCATCTCAACTCGTCCCTACACTGCATAAGCGAGGAAACTCCCCTTTTTCACTGTGGAAGAAGAAAAAAAAGAAATCTAGCTCAAAGAAACCCAGCACAGCAATTTTAAGAGGTTTAAGTTTTCAGCTTATGGACCAGATATGGATGGATGCCAAACAGCTCCTCTCCTAGACGAGGGAATTCAGCATAGCTGAAGGTTTCCTGAGGGGAAATCATATCATCTTATAATCCCAGCATGCCTGCGCTGCCCTGCTTTCCATAAGAGCAGAGGCTCTTGCAGTCACCTGAAGGGCAGCATTGCCCTGGTTGCAAAAGAAAAGCATCTGCTACCACTGAATAGGGATTGAGTTCACCAAGCCCCAGACATCTACTCTAAATCAGGCATCACCTCCTACTGCAGTGAGTGAAGAAAGGCAAACACCTCAAATGGGGCAATTCACTGGGCAAAGGTATCTAAGAAACAGGACAAACCATCAGGGAAGCACTCTTTGCAAGCATCCATCTTTCTTGTGCTCTCTCCATTTCAAAACAAGTCAGGTTTACAAGCAACAGGCTGTGGCCTCTTCTGCACCCTTCCCTGTCTTTGTTACAAGGTTCTTATTTCATTAGGAGTCCCTCAAGGTATCACTGGTTTCCTGGAGCCAGTAGTCCAACCTACTCAGTTCTCCTTGCCCTGGCTGGTCTCCCATACTGGATCCCAAACCATGCTTTTGCATCCAGTTCCACCATCAGCACTTACAGCCACCTGGAAACCACCAGGAGTTCAGAGACTTTGAAAAAGCTACACATGCAAATAGTGTTTGAGCCTGGTCCCAGACACACCTTGTGAACTGCAATGTGAACAACAGAGGAGCACAAATTCCCAGGTACTGCAGCTAACTGGTAAATGTTTCATCCATCTAACCTTGCTCAGTAGCCAAAAGGATAATCATGAAATAAGCATGTGAATATGCATGTAGCTTGGCAGTAAATAAGCTCTTCTCTTTAGTGTTGATCATATGAGACAGCACTGCAAAATGTTTAAGGTTTCCTGATTTTTAGCATATTTCTTAAGAGGTAGCTTCAATTACTATGTTCCATCCTATAACGAGAACATCGCTGAGCCATACATGAATCCTTCCAGCATGCATCATCCATTTCCACCGATCCGTTCTGCATAAAGGAGTGTCACCGAGTTCAAAGGAAACAAACTGAGGTATGACAAAGTGAGACGAATGAGCCTCAGCAGGAGGGAGTAACAACCTCAACTCAGAAGAGCAATCCACTTCAGGCAGACCGCCTCAGAGCACTCTTGAACCCAAAACAAAGATTTTAGGTCTCAGAAAAAATAGCAGTTACTTGCAAATAAATTTCCTCCTCTAAATGCATCCCAGTGATCTTCTGCTTTCACAAGGTTCCTTAACAAGAGACCTGAATTTCATCCCTCTGTCAAAACCTAACATTCATTTTGACCTGCTGAAAACTGTACCTTTTTCCAGGATTTAGGTACAAAAATATAAGAAGAGACTATGTCATTTTTAAGGCATTGACACTGCAGTCCAACAGACTGTGTAACAAAGCCTTTAGGAACCTCACATTTTGGATACAGCTTGAGGCAACAACGAGCAGTGTGCAAGTGGGGAACGAGTCTCACATAGACTACAGGACTCTGCCTCTTTCCCTTATCTTGGGTCCACAAGACACGATAAGCCATGCTGACTCAGAAGGCACTGAGCCATCACAGCACGATGAAAGGGCCTCTTACAATCATTAACTGCTCTGGTTGGAAAAGACCTTAAAGATTGTCAGGTCCAGCTGCAAACCTAACCGTACTACCCTAACTCTAACAATCCTCTGCTAAATCATGTTCCCAAGCACCACATCCGAATGGTTTCTAAACGCATTCAGGGATGGTGACTCAACCACCTCCCTGCAGAGCCTATTCCAGTACTTAACAACCCTTTCTGTAAAGAAGTTTTTCCTGATACCCAACTTAAACCAACTTGAGGCCATTTCCCCTCATCCTGTCACCAGTGAGAAGAGACCAACCCCACTCTGCTGCGATCTCCTATCAGGTATTTGAAGAGACAGCAGCAAGGTCTCCCCTCTGCTGCTGTGTTCCCTCTGCATCAATCCAAGAAGTGCCACAGAAGAATAACAATGCACTGCTCACCTTTGCTAGAGAGCATAGGCGCAGTATGCAGGGAGCAACAGACTACATGTAACTGAAGTTGCACCTGAAAGCAGTGTATGGGTATCTCCAAGAAGTCCCAAGCAAACTGGAATTTCCAGACTGAAAAGAGACATCATCTACAACAGAAGTCTCAGTCAACTATGTAGTACAACTCAAGATAACACAAATTGTGGCCTTATGTAGCTGGAGCTATCTGAAAAAGAGACAACTTCCTGCACCACGTCCTGTCTTCTAGCATTGGACAGATGAGCTGCAGAACTTTGCTTCTGGTCATGTCTCCACAGTACCAGGAATGGACAGTTCAGTCCTTCAGCACGGTAAGAAGGGAAGTGTTTGCACAACCACGCTCCTCAGCTGAGATACAGTCCTGCCATGCTAAAGGCAGTAGCGCTTTTCAGGAACACAGCACCTCGAATCTCTCTGAAGTTCCCAAGTTGCAAAAAGGCTTGGAGCACCTTCACATGTGGTACTCTTAACTACACAGACAGGGCCTTAGGTAAATCAGTCTTAAGTACATCATGGCTTGACATAGCTGCAAGAGCGTGGCCATCCTTCTCAAGGCAATTGCAAGCAATGACAGGAAACTGTAATAGTTCACATAGTGGTTAGTAGCAGCATTTGCAAGAGGAGTTTTAAAAAACAAAAACATAACCTTTAGGTGCCACGCTGGGAAACTGACAGGACTACCAGGAAGCAATTGCTCAGTCCAGTTGTAGCTCAGTTTTCACGCCACTGCATCAGGGATTTTGTTCTTATTAGATCTCTCCTTGCCTTGATCATTTCACTCTTTTTTTGTGTGTGTGTGATTCATTGTAGATGTATTCCTCAACCATGCTATAAAGTCTGAGCCAGCTGGAGACCAGGATATGGTATTTCTAACTCTGAGTGACCAGGACTCCTCAGTGAGATATCTTGAGCATTTGCTTCCAGTCCTATTAGCATTCCCACATTGGATTTTTCAGGAAATGCCCCACTGCAATGCTAGCACTGCTCATGAATGACAGGATATACAGGCTGCAAGAGTTCAGGATATTCAGGATATACAGACTGCAGTAAACAGTCTTTCTCCCAACCTGTCCCAGGCCTCATCTATACACCACCAGCAAATCTTTACTAGTGATGAGGGTAAAGACTTCTCCTTTCTCTGTAAGCAGTGCCTAAGTGAGCAACTAGAATAACTAAATAGAGCAACTAGAATAACACTGTAGCATTGGTTTGGGTATTTTAACTGTCAGATTACATGACAAACAATTGGGCTCCAAAATCACCTGACTTTAGGGCCACTCCAGATTCAAGACCTAGACAATCTGAGGCACACTTCACTCTTCTGATTCCTGGAAGCACCTTCCCACTCAATTGCATAGCTTTTACTACAGGTATGCAGATTTAGTACAGCCACCACAAAATGTAAACATAGTAGATTTAGCCTGCTTTCACAATGTTCCCTGTTTACTAATAAGCTTACAAAGCCAAAAGGTCAGTGTAGCCAGGAAAAAAAAAAAAAAAAAAAAAAAAAGCTATGTAGTGATGTAGATCAGTTTAGCAAATCCAATTCAAAAGTTAATGACGTTCATCTTAAGTTTAGGTTCAGCTTACAGACATGTTATGTTATGTTTTCTTTTATATGTAAATATGTAAAACATGTTATGTTTTCTTTTCCACATCAAAAGCTGTTAGCACATATGTGCCACACATCTGCTCTGATCACTTTTTTCATTCCTGATTATCTGAATGAAGAGCAAATGAATAGATTCCCGTAACCGGAAAAGAGCCTCAGCATGCAGAGACTTATCTCTCTCAGTGCTCCCAGGACCAGATTCATAGGCACAGGTGAGCAGAGCTTTACCAGCACAACCCCTTACGCAGGTGGTAGTACAGACTTTGGCCCCCAGGAGTGCCACAAACAAGCAGCTTTGATAGTAGCCACTTTCTGATCACAAGTTACATCAATTCACTCATTGCTTAGAATTCATTACACAGATATTGCAATGTCACAGCTCATTTTTTGAGATGCAATGAACAAAGACCAACCAATTTTGTTAGTCTTTCTCAACTTCTCTGCTGGGAGCACTGTCAATCCTTTTCACTCCTCCTGCTCCATCCCCTGATCTCAGGCAGTTAGTATGTGCCTACAGCTACATTCCTCTTTCCAAAAAGGCTCTTTCTATCTGTGTGTTTTTTAGAGCAGGTCGCACGGGAAGCGCTCGGTGACCGGGAATAACGAAACAAGCGACAGAAGCACGGAGCTGTGGCTGACTTCAAGCCTGAAGCAGAGCAATTCGCTCCGAACCCTGAGGAAGCCCTCGGTGCACAGCTCAGTTTATTGAGCCACTCTACTCACTATCTCGAAGCCACGTTTGTTTTGTTTTCTTTTTTTCCCCTTTAAACCTGAGGCACAGCGCCCTCAAACGGTTTAGAAATGAAGCCTCCAGCCCGCAGCACTCCAAGCGCTTCCCAGCGCAAAGCAGTTTAAGAAGCCATCTCCAGCAGGGACCTGTACCCACAGCTCAAGCACACACCCCAAGACTGGGAACCACCAGCCAGCCGCCATCCCGAGCATCTAAAGCTCCGCTTCCCTGAGGAACACAAAGGCCGCCCCACACGGGATCGCCTCATCTCCCCAGGACACTCACGGGGGATCCCAGACGCTGTGAGGCCGCCCGAGGCGGCAAACGCACGGCGGAGGGTTTGACCCCAGCCGCGCTGTGGGGATCCCGGAGGGAACAAGAGGGCAGGCAGGTGACAAACCGTGCCACCGAGCTGCGAAATGGAGGGTGCGTGACACCGGTCAGGACAGTCCTCAAGCCCAGCTGGGGGCCGACGGAGAGTCCTCACGGGACACCTCAGCACAGCCCGCGGCTGAGGAGAAGAGGCGCGGGGGCGGGAAAGGTCTCGCGCATCGATGCCGGGCGGCTCCCGCGCGAAGCTGACAGGAAAACCGCCGCGGGGACGACGGAGCTCCGCACGAGACGCGCAGGGCACGGGAGCGGCACGCGGGGAAGCGGCGCTGAGGCGAGGAGCCGGCGCGCAAGTTCGCGCATCCGCGGAGGTGGGAGCGAGGGGAGAGGGGTCGGTGCCGACAGGAAAATCCGCGGGGTCAGCGGAGGGGCAGGGGGAGAAGCGGGGCCGAGGTCCGTCAGAGCGGGGGCGGGGCGGCAGTACCAGCCCGGCGCAGGTGCTGAGGGAGGCGAAGGAGTCGCTGCGGTTCAGCACGCGTCCCGTGTAGAAGCAGAGCCGCTCCGCCGGGGGCCGCCGCTCCTCCCCGCGCCGATGCTCCACCACGAAGCCCCGGGCGAGGAAGCGCAGGTCGCGGCGGAGGAGCACGTAGAGCTCGGTGCCGGCGGCGGGCAGGCGAAGCAGCACGGCCTCTCCCGCCGCCTCCCGCGGCCGCAGCAGCTCCCGACGGCGCCGGGCTCCGCCGCGGTCCCCTCTCCCGGCGGGAGGCAGCAGGTGGATCCTCTCCAGCTCCACTCGCTCCGGGATCACCACTTCCAGCTCCGCTCCGCCGGCTGCAGGCGAGAAGGAGAGAGAAGAAAGGCTCAGCGCTCGCGGTCCGACGGGACGGACGGCGCTCCGCGGACCCGGACCTCCCAGCCCCGCTCTGCGGCAATCCCACGGACTGGAAGTCGTGGAGCCAGCGGGAGAAATTAATCCTCCCCCCTATACACACACACACACACACACACACACACACACACACAAATACACGAGATACAAAAACGCGCGGGGAAGAGAGGAATAAAGCAAACGCTCAAGCTACTTGTATCATTAAAAAAATACATAGCTCAGACACAAGCATCGCATTTCACCAATCCCAATAAAAATCTGCAGGGAGAAGGGGAAAAGCAGAGCAAGCCAGAGCCGCAGCCAAGGACAGTCAGCAGCTTTCCACATGAAACGTTACAGCAGCAGCGAGAGGACAGGAAAAGAAAACGTAGGAGCCTGGAGCGATCTGCGCTGCAGAGCGGGACCGCGGCCACGCAGGGGATCCGCCGCGCGCCCCGTGCCTGCGGGCGGGCGGCCGCCCGGTGAGGGGCTGTCAGCGCCTCCGGGGCGGGGATGCGAAGGAGAGAAGCGCTACCTGTGCCGGCGTCCAGTCCCCAAAGCAGCAGGCAGGGAAACACGAGAGGCAGGAGGCAGCCGTCAAACATTTTATGGCAGCGACGGGGCCCAGCGCGGAGCGGCGGCGGAGGAGGAGGCGGCGGCGGCCCGGAGTGAGCCCTGCCCGCCCTCGGAAAAAGTAATCAGCGCCGCCGACAGCCCCAGCGTGGTGGGCGCCCGGACACGCCCCCTCCGCGGCCCCGCGCGCTCATTGGCTCGCGCCCCCCTCGGCGCCCCGCCCGCCGCCCGCCCATTGGCCGCGCGCTGAAGGCGCTGGGCGGTGCGGGGAGGGGTGCACGTGGGTGAGGGCGGCCGGCTGGGGGCGCCCTCTTCTGCCCCGGCCCGACGCGGAGCTGCAGCGCGGCCGCTGCCTCCCGGGTGTCCGTGGGACCGCCTGGGACCCCCGAGGGGGGCGTGGAACAGCTGACAGAGCCCGGCTGAGCGGGGAGCCCCGCTGCGCTATCCGCGTGCCCCATCGTTCGCTGCCAAAAGAAGCCTGACGCTGCTGTGCAGCAGTTCTCTTGATAAATTCATTCATTCCATTATTTTCTGCAGCCTTTCCCACCACCGTCTCCAGTCCTGATCCCTTCTTTATTTCTCAAAAGACCAGGGGAAAAAAAAAAGTGAGATGGGAGTACGAGTGCACAAAAATGTGAGGCAGTCATACTGTGAATCACATCACAGACTCACAGTAACACTGGAGTTGGAAAAGAGCCCTAAGATCATCTAGTTCAGCCATCCACCTACCACCAATATTGCCCACTAAGCCACGTCCCTAAACCAGCTACATCTTCCTTAAACACCTCCGAGGGTGGTGATTCCACCACCTTTGTGGGCAGCCCGTCCCAGTGCCTCACCGCTCCTTCTAAGGACCTGAGCCTCCCCAGGTGCAACTTTGAGGCCGTGCCCTCTTGTCCTATGCAATGATCTTGTGTACACCTAGAAACATTACCACACCGAGGAAAAACAACAACAACAACCCCACACAAGTGTCAGGAGATCCAAAAGTTATTTTTAAAGAGGTTTAAAGCGGGGAGGATGGGCTGTTCAAGAGGGCACTGTGGGGGAGGAGGCAGCAGCTACCTGCTCTTACCATTCCACTTGCAGGGCACACACAACCCACACGCAGCCATTTCTCATCTCTCCAAGATCTGGCACCCTTAAGAGCTCCTTCCCACCTGATGATTCTGCCTCCATGTCCTCAGCAGCCCAGAAGTTAACAGAAAGCCTGGCTCAAGGGCTGCTGAAGGCAGGAGGGTGATTTCCAACAAGACAAAGATTTCTATTGTGTTTGGTGGGCTCTGGATCAGGTCTTGTGCTCCCAGCATGGCTGAGTCACAGCAAGCAGTAAAGACTGCGCATTAACAGCTTTAAGCTGCTGTGGCCAAGCAGAGCAGCATCCTAGAGCTCAAACTTTTGCAAAAATCTGCAACTTCTTTACTTGCATTCATAGAAGAATTCAAAAGACCCACAAAGGAGCATGAACGACTCTGGCAGGTCCCACCACAGATCTTGCACAAGCATTGTCCGATGCTCAGCCCTGTGAGGACAGACAGCTGGGGGTAGCCCTAAGAAGAAGGCTATTTGAAACTAGGAAAAGGGCTGGGGAGAAGCTCTGTGAACAACTGCATTAGTGCAAAGTGAAGGGGAGAGCAAAGAAACGGCAATTTAGAATGATCTTAGCTGTACTGTCAGCTAAGATTTCCACTCAAGATGTTTCACCAAACATGGCTCTCTCCACTCACTATCTTAAAGCCAAACTGCAACAAGGCAAACAAAAAAAAAGGAAACAAAGTACAAGCCATCACACGCACTTGGCCTCCCTCTTCACTGAGCCAAATCTACCCTTTCCCAGCTCAGATGAGTTCCTCTCAGCTTTACACCTGGTATCCATCCATACCCTTCCAGACATCAGAGCCTTTGCAGCCAGGTGCCCTATCTGTACAGTAGTCAACAAATAGGACCTCATACATCCAGGATCATGCATTTCCTCCTTTGCATAGGTCTAGAGACTTCAGGCTGACTGTAATACAACAGCAAGCACAGCAATGACAGCAGAGTAGCAAGGTCCTAAGCTGCAGCAAGTGAGGAGTTGCTCAAATACAACAGCCATAGCGCAGAAACAAAGGAAAGAAGTTACTTACTTTCAGAAGGTCTCAGTTATGCAGGGATCTCCGCCACCAACCCTTAAATGACTCTGGAATGGGGTGAATCCTGGCTCCACCCCTTCTGATCACTCAGCTGCATTGCCTTGCCTTGCATGCACCTGAGCTCCCCTGGGTGGGCCCTGCCTTCCCACCAGGTGCTCAATCACTGTTTCAGGCCACGACTTAGCATTTCTGCTACACTGACAAAAGCTACCAGTCTGAACTAACAGCTCCTTTTTTGTCAATTTTATCTTTTCATGTTCTGTAAAAAAAGGTTTGGTTTTCTAATTCTGCTCAGGAAGTCTTTCTCATGTTGCCTTGCAGGAGAAGTGACCACAGCAAATATATTGTGATTCCAGATATTTAGCCACATGCAGAGTCCAAAAGACAGGAAAGTCAACACCATTTTCTCTCTTCCAGGCATTGTGGAAGTCCCAGGCAAAAGGAATCATAAGAACACTCATTCTGCCAGCACAGCAGCACTGGGAGGACATTGCCTGTGGTCAGCACTAAGAGTGAAACTGAGTATCTGCAGCCAGTTCCCAGCAGACAAAATCTGAGCAAAGCCAGGACCCATGTCTTCAATTCACTTTTTTAATGTGAGACCAGGTGAGATTTAATAGCTCTGTGTTTTCCTGCCTCTTTTAAGAGGCAGTCTATGCTCTAGCATGAAATAAGTTACCAAAGCAAAAGGACTGGCTCAGAACCCATCCAAATGAGAGAAGAACACCACCTTGCCATATGCCAATAATGTAACATAACATTAAAGCCTCAGAAACTGAATTCTCCCCTGAACCAACAACTTCAGTGCCTCCCTGCAAGGCTAGAGCCCATGCTGGCACAGCAGCTATAGGCAACTTCCCCTCAACTCTTCCACTCGTGGCAATTCTCCACTCCTGAGAACCAAGAGGCAATCTGATTTGTGAGCTGCCAAACCTGGCCTGAGCCCCAAACAGCCATGCTTAAATGCAGACCACCAGCTGTCTTCATTTGCTAAGGGACCAAATTCAATGCCATGTCTTTTTCCTCAAAAAGGTTTGTGTGGGGGGTCGTAAATTTGCTTAAACATTTAGTAGATTCTTTCTTCCACCTTCCAAACACCTCTGCCAAAATAATAATGCACAGAAAGAATTAATTTAACAGTGTGGGGGAAGAGGGTCACTAATAAAAAGAAGTGTGTAACACACGGTGTGGAAGGACTCAGCGGCTGAGCTGGCCAGCACAGACCACGCTGGTGTAGAACTGGTCTTCACAAAGTATCACAAAGATGCGGAGCCTTTGAGCAGGGGCCCAACAGGTAATATTGCACCCAACAGGTGCAATATCACAGACAGGCCTTGCTGTTGGCAAAGGCTGGAAGCAGGAGAGAGGGACAAATCCCTGCAAAGGTACCCGTGCAACAGAAGAGGAAATTGTCTTAGGAGCAGCAGTGGTTTTCTTGAATTCAAATCCCAAAGCCCCACTGAGATACGGACCTTCTTTATTAATTTAACACCATGGGCTTTTCAGAAATGTTTTGAAATTGTTATTGATAACAATAATGCATGTGGTGGGAGGCAGTTGTAGTCCTGTTGAAATGGCTGCATTCCTTCTCTGTCCCCAGCCCTTTTTGTGGAGGGAATCCACCTCAACATCAGAGAGTGGATTTGGCCCCACAGTTTCTAGGAAACAAACCCTGTCCCCCTCTAAAGCCAATGTTTTATTTTTTTGCAATTTTAAATGTATTTCAAGGAAGCCAAGTTTCATGGCCATTATTGCACAGTTAATAACCCTTTGGAGACTGCAGACATGTGTTATATACATCTTCCTGAGCAGTCATTTGGCTCACTGCCTGGAAAATGCCAGCATGTGAAGGGTTAAGTTGGCTGTTATTCAGCCTTCTCTTCAGGCACCCCTCTCTAAACCCTTCTTGTCCTGGTCCTGAGGGGCAATGATGGCCTTGCAGGCAATGCTTTCCTGCCCAGTACACTCTGATGACTTCCCCACTCCCTGCAGCTCCTCACCTTGCTGCAACCTTTGGGCAGAAACGTTTTCCTTTCCTGCTGCACCAGCACTGCTGTTGCAGAATCTGGCCAGGTTGATCAGGCACAGGTTTAATGGGTGCTGCTATTATTTATGTCAATGCCCTACAGATAAAAAAAGAGTTTAACGGAAACTAGGAATTGAGAAAAGCTATTTTATCACCTAAAACAATAAAATAAATAAATAAAGTAGCTGTAAAAAAAATAGGTTTCCTACAGATCAAGTTTTCACAGTCAACTAGGGGCTTAATCAATGTTTCTTCCCTGGACAGAGGGTGTTTAATGGTGTGCTCCCTCATGCAAATTCTCCACTGTGTATTACCATTCAGGTAGTCCTCAGCAGAGGTTCTTGTAAGGACTCTCCTTCCACTGCATGAATTCTCCTGAACTCATGCAAGAAAAATCCTTCTGGGACTCCTCTACTGAGTCCAGCTGAAAATGACAGCCCATTCCTGAGCTCTGGGGATAAGGAGCAGAAAGAAGTGACTGACAGTGGAGATGACCAGGGACAGCTGAGCCTCTGACACTTGTGTACGTTCAGGAGAACACAGCATGCTTCAGTTAAGGTAAATCTGTGACAGCTTTCCTGGCCCTTTCTTTCCTCCAGGATGGAGCTTGAGGAAGATACACAGCCTGGCAAAGGTTCCCTTTAGTCAGAGAGCTTGCTTCTGTTGATGTACACCTGTCTCACAAACAGCAACTACAGCACTGCAAAAGACCTCCTGCAACTTCCTGTTGCCTTGGTACAGACATTTTGAGGGATCAGGGCACAGCAGTGTCCGGAACAGAAAATCAGATTGCTCACATGCCATTGTGGGTGAGAAAAAGCAGAAAAAAAAATAAACAAAGTTCTCCCAATCAAGTAACACACCTGCAGGATGCTGGAAAATCT